GAGACCGTACAGCGCTGCGACACCGACCGTAGCGACCGCGTATAACCGGGAGGAGTGCTGCTGGCGCTGCAAACAGCGGGGGCACACCCGGTTTCAATGCAAGCAAGCACCCCGACGGTTCTGCTCGCAGTGCGGAAAGGACGGCATCCTTACCAACAATTGCCACCCGCCACCGGGAAACGCCAGACGCGCCGAGATGACCGCGGCCGAATCCCGGACGCCCAAAAATTAATTAAATACACTCCACGACCGCACATCACCGCGACGATCTACGGGCAATCGGTGGAGGCCTTGCTCGACTCAGGCTCCGAGGTCTCGTTTGTCAACGCCGAGATTATAGAGATGATCAGACGATTCGGCACCGAGCCCGGCGGGGAAGACGGACACATACAGATGGCCGTTGGGGCTACCGCTCGGACGTGCAGGAAAGTCCAACTACTAGTCAAATTCCAGGGGCGAACCTACATCCACGAATTCGCCATACTGCCGACACTACGAGAAGCGGCATTGATCGGGATCGATCTATGGGCCCGCCTGGGGCTCACAATCTCGCCGCCGCAGCAACGACAAGCCTGGAACCGCCAGCCAGTCTGCGGGAAGACCAGCGGGCTAGCGATCCACACGAGGAAAGAGAAAGAACGGTTAGAGGCCTTCTTGAATCACGAACTAGACAAATTCCAATATGTCACAGGGCCGACCCCACTGGCCGAACACCACATACGCTTAATCCGCACCATACCCATTAAACAAAGGTATCGGCCACGTAACCCGGCCATGCAAGCAGTTATTGACGCAGAAGTCGAGGAAATGGAGAGAGCAGGGGTGATCGAGCCATCCCGAAGCTCGTGGAGCTCACCCATCGTGGTCGTCCGGAAAAAGGACGGGAAGCACCGCTTCTGTATCGACTTCCGAAAAGTAAATGAAGTCACGGAGAAGGACGCCTATCCACTACCGCAAGTCACCGCCACCTTGGACAAACTACGCGGCGCCCGATATCTAACGACGCTTGATTTAAAGAGCGGGTACTGGCAAGTACCCTTGGCACAAGAAAGCCGACCGATCACAGCATTCACCGTACCAGGAAAAGGCTTAATGCAATTCCGGGTGATGCCTTTCGGGCTGCACTCCGCCCCGGCCACGTTTCAGCGCCTGCTCGACACCGTCATCGGACCCGCGCTCGAACCGAACGTATTCGTATATTTAGACGACATTATTATAATCAGCCGCACGTTCGACAAACATTTAGACTTGCTCGCCGAAGTATTCCGCCGTCTCCGTCAGGCCCGCCTCCGGTTAAACCCAGACAAATGTCGATTTTGCGTCGACCACCTGAAATACCTGGGGCACGTTGTCGACCGTACCGGAATCCACACGGACTCCCACAAGGTCAGCGCGGTCGCGAATTGGGCCGAACCCCGTTCGGTAAAACAAATTCGACAGTTCCTCGGGATGGCGTCATGGTACCGACGATTCATAAAAAATTTCTCGACGCTAGCAGCACCCCTCACGCAATTAACAAAGAAAAACGCCCGCTGGGCATGGGGGGCGGAAGAAGCCGCCGCGTTCCGACAATTAAAACACGCGTTAACCACCGCGCCCGTACTCGCATGCCCGGACTTTAACCGCCGTTTCTTCCTACAAACGGACGCAAGTATCAGCGGCCTCGGAGCCATCCTCACGCAATATCACGAGGACTGCGAACGCGTCATCGCCTACGCGAGTCGCACGCTATCCGGCGACGAAAGAAATTATGGCGCCACGGAGCTCGAATGTCTCGCGGTTGTCTGGGGCATACGGAGAATGCGAAATTATCTAGAAGGGTACGCCTTCACCGTCATCACGGACCATCAATCCTTACGCTGGTTGCAAAAACTGGAAACTCCGACTGGACGACATGCCCGTTGGCTATTCAAGCTCCAGCAATTTGACTACGAGATAGGGATGTTCGATTCCGATTCGATTCTTTAAAAGATCGATTTTTTTAGTCATAAATCGATTTTTTTAATCGATTCTATGCTATACGATTTTTTTGCGAATCGATTCTTTACCCTAAGAATCGAAGAACTGATTCTATTTTTAAAAATTCTTTTTTCTCGCTTGTTTCTTACCTGTCGCTACTGTTTATATCTACACCATAATACTATGCTTGCGGTCGGTAAGACACTAGAAATGCTTCGAAGCATTGCATTAACCAATCAGAATAAATAAATCTTTACTCTTTTTGTCTTGATTGGCCAATCAAATGCTTCGAAGCATTTCTAGCGTGTTTCCGACCGCAGCCTATGTCTACACTCTTTACAATCTATATAGTCTAAGAGCCAATTTCACCAAGTCCGGTCACATTAAAATTTAAAATTAATTAATTCAATTAAAAATTTTTTATGGTCACAATTAGCTAAAATTAATTAATTAATTAGATTTATGTATGTTTCAATTATATATAAATAATTTTGTACGATTTTTTAGATCGATTCTTGCAAAATCGATTCTTTGATTCCGATTTTTTAAGAGAATCGATTTTCATGATTCGATTCAGAATCGATTCAAGAATCGATTCTTTTAAGAGAATCGAACATCCCTACCTTGGACTGCTTAGGGCCGGAGCACAGACTTTTGCATAAGCGCATAACCATAAGC